ATGAAACATGTCTATTTTTTAAAAGACTTTGGTTATTTCATGTATAGCATCGTCAGTTGAATAAGAATCTAAAGAACGAAGAAAAGTTGGCAGTGTCCATTGATGCCATAAGTAACTGGTTGCAGACACCATTTGAAGTAGCCGAGGTAGGTTGTAAATTGTTCACGCTAATTAAAATATGAAAACATGTCATTTACATTATTGACATAGTTATTCTAATAGAAGCATCGATCGCAGATGAATGCCGCGGACAAAGATGTGAAGGATGAATTCAATAATGATTTACGTGGACAGCGCATTTGTATTGAGCACAGTATTTCAACTGACGCATTTTTTAAGGTAACGGGTCATGTTCTAATTACATATCATTTCACACAAACCTAATAATGTATTTCACAGAAATTTACCTAAAATTGACATTATTTTGTAGTTACTTGATGGAAAGAAGAATGACATTGATCCTATACTGAATACTGAGAGTGCAATTGATCAAAGATTAAAGTGTGTCCAAAAGGAAAGCACAGGCGTTGAAGAGATTCATAAGGTTGGACTGTAGTGGTATTGTGTTACACAAACACATTGAATAGTATATGCACATTAAAAGTGTATTTCGTTAACCAGATTTCAGATTCGAGTGATTGTCTCGCACTAGTAATTGTGGACTATCCAGAAATTGGCGAAATCAATACCGATGATCAGGCATCAATACTGACATACATTTTTGATGCATCTCTAGATATGAGGTATAATAGTGTAAGCAAAAAATTATTCATTATGTAGCATACATAATACAGTAATATAATTATGTTGTCTGACAGTGAGGTCTTGGTTAAATCCAGTCACGAGTTCGCAACTAGAAAGTCAATGATGTGTTTATGCCCTTTCCAATGGATTTGTGCTGAGGTGAGTGACATCGAATATTCATGTTTTTTGATGTAATATACATAAGCCAATAACTCCATATTGATGTGTGTATTCGTATATTGGTTGTAAAGATAATAAATCTTGCTGCATACATTACTATTCAAGGGAGGAAGACGAATCCGTTAAATATGAAGAGTAGATGCTTTCTGCTCACATACTTTTCGGTAATGCATCCTACCCTGGTCAACGACATTATCATGAATTTAAATAATGCCAACCATAAATTGAGTGATGTTAGCACTAATGTTTGTGAATATATTCAGCAAGAAGCAATTGGAAGATTATCGTCCCATCCAACTGTAAAATGCATAAATGATTCACCTCTTAACCTGTCTGATTACATAACAAATTTTGAAGATTGTGACAAGGTTCTTCATATATATCTTGCTTTAATATATATATATGTCTTTGGTTGAATTGCATCTACCGTTTTCTTTTACTGTCATTATAATATTGAATTATTAAAGCAGATTTTTATTCCCATGAACAACAACAATCTTCATTGGTACTTATGCATGATCGATGTATTTGAGCGTGAAGTTGTATTGCTTGACTCTATGCCATTAACGGACAACAACCGTCGACTAATCGACATGAAGAATGGGGTTTCGTATCTTGATTCTATACTTCAGTGTATTGATTGTTTGTACAAGCCAATTCTCCACACATTCCCTTTGGTAGAAGCTGCATGGGCTCCAAGACAAGAGAATGGACACGACTGCGGTATGTTTGTTATTAAATTCATGGAGGAACCTTTGTTAGGTCCTAACTGGATTGTAAAGGTAATACAACAGATGGACATCTTCGTTGCACTAAGTTCACCAATTTTCTTATTTCATACACTAACNCTTGGCTGGATTGTAAAAGTAATACAACAGCTGGACAGCTACATTTCACTAAGTTCACCAATTTTTGTATTTCATACACTAACAGTATTATTTGTTGTCAGGATGATTTGAATGATATGCGCAGGAAGCTAGCTGTTCAGCTGGTCAACCACAGTGAAAATAGATTGAGAAACCAAGTTGTTTCCAAGGCACGAATGCGATTGGCTAATAGTGGAAAAATGATGTCATATGCTTGATTTAGTCATTTACATTAAGCATTTGGCTTTTATTTTGTTTTATGGATTTTGTAATTGCAGCATGTTATATTGGATATATATATATATATATATCCAAATATAAACACCTGCAACACAAGAACATGACTGTTCGATTCACAAGGGAACCCCCACATAATCTATTACACTATCTTCACCCACATGCTATGCAACATTCTCAAGCCAGTATGCAATGAAAAATATCCATGATAAACAAAGTGCAAACTTTAACTTTCTGGCCAGCTTTGTGGCTATTTCTTTTTGTGTCTGATGTCTTTTCATTGATCGCAATAGTCCGGGAATTACATGTTTCGATCGGTCGCACATAGGAGGATCATACCATTGGAAATAATTTCACCCACCTGCCTCCTGCATGTCGTTATGTTGGTTAACATTGTGATTTATTTGCAAAAAATGAAAAATTTAAAAAATAAATAAGGAATAAATAATTTTTCAGAATATTAGTATCTTATCTCATATCTCTCACAGCCAATAAACCTCTTACCTGGGTTGGAATCTGTCCATGAGGTCCTCAATATTTTCATTCTCCTACAGTTGCATTGTTGAAAGTCCATACTCCTATAAGCTTATACCAGAGGGGTGTAAAGTGTTTTCTTTTTCCCTTTCATCTGAGTGTTACTCTCTCCCTGTGTATGCACATATATAAGTAGCTTGGTGATGTTGGCGGGAACATTTCCCTCCACTTTTGTGGACTGCATGTGCTGGACAATTGTCCAAAATATCCCTGTCTCCTTTTTATGCTGATTAGTCTCCAAAAATCTCCCATGATATTTGACAGGCACCACATTAACAAGGACATGGTCTGCTTCAAATGTACAGATTACAAAATACATGGGTATAAATTTTTTGTCATTAAATATTACTCCTAAAATTACTATATTTGAAAGTAAGACTATAACTATTTATGGTAAAATTAATACCGTTGCATATAAAGTTATAGCTATTTAATGTTAGGTTACAATTAGTAAAGGTAAAAGTACCACAAATATTATCCGGATGAGGTCACAACATTTAGAAAAAATTTGTACAACATATATATATGGCAAAGTTAACACAACTTTAATGAGTACTGTTTTAATATTTACTAACAAAATAGAGGACCAAACATTATTTTTGGTACCATACCGAAAAAATTGAGGGTGATACTATAGGCTTCCCCTCATTTATTAATCTGATCTGCATGAGTTGTAGGGTAAAGAGTTCTGGATTGAATTTGATTCTCAGGTTATAGTATAGATGATTTTGGTTAAAGCAGATATCCATTGGAAGCTGAAGGATATTATGGAACAAATTGTACAGGCTCTTGCAAAACTTAAGTACCAATTCAGGCATGTTTATAGGTGGCTGATCTGTGTTGATTTGTTATGATGGTTTTGTTATTTGCTAGATTAAGCCTGATGGTTGTCTTTGTTTTCTGATTTGCTTCTCTAGCAGATATTGGAAAATGACAAGATAATGCTGCTATGGTGATGGTTGATAATTCAATGTGGATTCATATTCAAAAGTTCAATATATAGCAGAAAATTAAAACAATGTGGGGGGACAAAGATGTGAAAGGGATTCTATGGATTTTTTTGTTGCTGATTGTTCTCTGGTTTCTGTGGCCATTCAAGCAGAAGTTGCTGCATCAGGCGTATCAGCTTCAGGGGGAGTCTTGGGGGTATCTTTCCTGGACTCTCTTCTTCACTTTTCTTGCTGACTTTTGGGCCTCTCTCCTCGGTTTTTCTTATCTCCACTTCATCTCTATTGCGCTTCATGTTTGTGGAGTGTTGGTTTGCTCTGTGGAAGTGCTAGGTTTTAAGGAGAATTGTTGGTTGTTCCTATGTCTACTGCTCTGTATCTGGTGTGCCATTGGGGGAGATGTATTTGGATGAGGCTTTTATTAGGATTGATGCTTGGGTTCTTGAAGCAGAGTTGTTTGCTCTCAGTTGGTGCCGCCTGTTTTGGATTCTTGCTAGGGATCTCTTCTGGTTCAGCTGGTTCGAAATTGCCTTGAGATGGAAAGGAGTTTTGAGCTGGAATAAAGAAGTTGTACATAGGGAGCCGATAAGGAGTCATTTACTTTTCTGCCCTTGTATAGTTTTATTTTTGATAATTGTTTACCACTTACTGTTTTTTCACAACTGTACATGGATTTTGCTTCTTGTAATTTCTTGGGTTTAAGAAAATAAAATTTCTATATTTTTTTTAAAAAAAAAGAAAAAGGAAAAAACAAAAATTTACAATCAACAAATATATCATACCATTGAAAACTACTGCCTACAATTCCCAACCCCAATAGTGCATTGCAGTCTAGCAATTAGACACTCAAACAATCCAGGAGATCAGAAGCTGATAATACTGGAACCCACATCACCCCATATCATTGCATACAAACCCTCCATCACAAAGCAACCCAAAGCTGTCCAATAGGAGCATAGAATGGGCCAAGACAAATAGCTCCAGATAGACTGCCTGGCCAGACTTAAAAAAAAAAAAAAAAAACCCCCAGGACCTGCCACCACCCTCCAAATCACAGCATACAAAAAATAGACCATTGCAAAAACAGTCTGACATAGCAGATAGATCCAGTAACATGTAATAAGCACATCAACCAACCAATACCAGTATAATAACTTATTTTACCAATAAAAAAATGATCATCCACTTTTATCCCAAAAAAAAAAAAGAGATTATAATGTATAGATGTGTTTTGCATTCCAGACACGCAGATCATTTTGTTTCCATATTCCACTCAACACATGGACTTCGCTCCATACATGTTTACACATAACACAGAGCATAAACAACAGAATTCAGATAGATAAGGTCAAATGGACAACTAAAGTGAGTTATCCTGGGTTGGGTTAGTTGGTTTCTTGTAATTTGTTGTAAATAGCAGGTGTTCATGCCATCTTGGACTCGGTATACACATTGTCTCAAAAATATAAAGCTACATCCACATTCATGGTAACTATATGTCCCGGAGGTTCAATGACTTGACAATTATTTTTGCTCGTTTTTTATTCTGTGGATGGGTAACCAGCTTTAATGCTTGATCCTTTCTAACATTAGACGACGATGCCTGCATACCATTTTAAGTGTTATAACATGAGGTTCTCAAAACATTAGAAATAAGGAAGAAAAATAAGCATTATTTTTCCATGCACCTTCATTATAGGTTCGCCTAGACGAGGTTGATGGATCATATTGACAACGTGAATTCCACAATTATATCCATTCACATGTTTGGGTGTCCAACTTGGTTCAATCACTGGCCATGTACTGATTACTCTTTCAAACTATTTGTTAATCTGGCAAATAAGTTCATCCAATGCTGCCACCTACTCAGTCATACAATGCATTAAGTTACACTTTTGAAATCCAACCTCAAATTTGTTGCATGGATCATATTTTGCATTCCAAAATTACATCACACATACCACATCATGTACTTGCTTACGGCGTGTATGCTTCATTGTTTGACTTGGCATTGTATCCAATAGGAGCACTTCTTCTTGTTGTATGTCCACAACGCATAAGAACCAATGTTTGTTGCCGTCGTGTATGGGGACATATATCTACATCAGGCAAGTGCAGTCAGTACACAATGGTGAAGGATAACATTTGCATATAAAGTCATGTATTGTAATTCAGAATATGTTGTAAGTGTTTATGCAGTCAAACCTTGGCACACGTGCTGATGTCATGGATGTATCGTCCACACAATCTCATGAGTTGTCTTTGCATTTGAACACCAATTTTCCCCTCAGATGTATACTGAATCACTGTTTGCTACAATTTAAGGATGTTGTGAAATTTAAAACACGTATGTTCATAATGAATATTAAAACATAATATGACCATTGTGAATGAATACAATCACATAAAAATAAAAATTTATGTTGGAGTATTACCGCAAACCAAGTCGGAATATACCACCTGGCATTCTGTGTCTCATTGTTTCCCATATCTGTGGGTGGCATAATGCATGCAGCGACATTGATTAACTGTGTACAGAATTATACATATTTACAAATGCATACATTTAATCCATCTCAAAATTTAACCCAAATTTTGGTGTAAAAATATGGGAAAATTATATAACTCACCTCGCTCGACAACCATTGTCTAGGTCCCAATGACTTCATTGTCATTCTTGTTGCATCAAATTTTCCAAACTCAACAATCGTCTCACTGTGAAATTACAACATGTAAGGTATGATTTGCATAAGAACTACAAATAATAAACACCCTGTACGAACTATTAATTGTGACATACGCTGCATCAAGTCCGTCATGAAAAATGAAGTTCCATATTGCATTTCCTACGTCATCACTAACATCAGTAATATGGTGAACCAAACCATCAACAACCTGAAAATGGAGTGTGCCATTTTAGGTCCATGTGCACAAAAAAATTTAATTAGGTTAAAGTTGTGTGTAAAATAACCTCGGTGTTGCTATCATCATGAACCTCAATTTCATTGTCATCGCATACTCCCTGGTTCACATTCTAAACCATGAAAAATATACAAATTAGCACACACAAAGTACAATGGTAAAGGATAACACTGTAATAAAGTGTACTCACGTGGACATACTCCTTTGTAGGTGGTTCTCTCCCAATTGTAGACACATTTTCTGAAAGCATTTCTAGCATCTTTTTAATTTCAGTTACTTCAACTGTGAACTTCGCAGACAATGCTTCTTGGCCCGTTCGCAATTCACCCAATGCAACCTCAACCTTAGACAATCTCTTCTCAAAATCCCACATAACACATTGAAGTGGCACTCATGCAATATATTAATAATAATGATTTGTAGTGCTGTATACAAATATACATCCTACATAAAGGTAACATGCATGTTATGAGCGTAAGAGACGACTGTTGTCTTCCCCATATCCTCACATTTAGTGACATGAACACTTACTGAATGTTCAGATGTGGTCCTCTCGGTGCAGTCATCATATTGGTCAGGAACAGTCAATGATGCTTCAACTGTAACAATTAGCTACGAATATCAAAATATTAGTTACTACCATACGATATATAAAGAATACCTTCCATACTAAAATAATTAACAATAAATCTAGGATTAAAGAGTATAATTTCTTTCATAAGTTACTCCTTTTTTTTGTAGCCACCCAATGCAGTCATGCGCTGGCATATTTCTTTATCCCCCCAAAATGCCATCCGAGGGAATGGCCGTGACAGAAATGGAATGTATGATTCTCCCATTGGTGTCACGCGCTCAAAATAGAAAATCTGCAAAAGAATAATATTCATGCAATTAATACAACTATCATGAATAAGAAACCAGTACAACTAATTAGCAAATAAGTAATTAACGCAATACCTGTAGCACAATGATACAACCACAAATATTATGTCTGGATTTTGCCTTGAAATTTTGTATGCCGTCAATATGTTTTGTCGCAAAAATTGAGTTTGGCAAATATTTTTGCGACGTAAACGTCGCGAAACGGTATTTCCCACCAAATTTTTTTTGGCGCAACAAAAATGGTGGGAGTTGATATTTTTTGCGACAAAATTTATTTGTCACAGATAGTTTACTTCGTCAAAAAAAAAATATTAAAAATTTAAAATAAAACTAAACTCAAAATATTTAATTCGCGACGTTTAATATTATCGTCGCCAAATATAAACTATAATTAATATTAATTTTTGACGTTTTTAAATATTTTGTCAAGAATATTTATTTTTTCGCTACGATTTCATAAATTCGTTGCAGAATATATTTTTTTATTAAATAAAATTATTATTTCACGACGTTTTAATATTCGTCGAAAATTAGAATTTAATTTTAAATTAGAATTTAATTTTAAATTAGAATTAAAATATTAATTGCGACGCATTTATTTTCGTCACAAAAATTAGCTTTTCGCAACGATTTAGTATTTTTTTTCGCAAATAGTGTATTTGGCTATTTTTTGCAACGTTGTTAAAAAACGTTGCGAAAAGGTGATTCCCTCCAAAATTTTTTGGCACAAGAGCAGGGCGAGAATAGGTGTTTTTTCGCGACGTTTTTATAAAGTCGTCGCAGAATATAATTTTTCTATTATATTAAAATTATTATTAATTTGAAATTTGAAATTATAAATTAGAATTAAAATATTAATCTCGACATTTTTTTTTGCCCCAAAAAATGAATTTTTCGAGGCGATTTTATAGTTTGTCGCAAATAATGTGTTTGGTATTTTTTGTGACGTTTGTTAGAAAACTTCGCGAAAAGGTGATTCCATCCAATTTTTTGTGACGTGAGAAAGGTGGAATAGGTGTTTTTTCGCGATGTTTTTATAAATTCGTCACAGAATATAATTTTTATTTTATATTAGAAAAAATTATTATTACTTTTTTAATTTTAAATTTGAATAAAAATATTAATTGCGATGTTTTTTTTGGTCGCCAAAAAAGAAATTTTCGCGACGATTTCATATTTTTGTCGCAAATAGTTTATTTGACAATTTTTTTGCAACGTTTTTAGAAAACGTCGCAAGAAGGTGATTCCCACCAAAAATTTTTGCCTCGAGAAAAGTGTGGGAGTTGAAAATTTTTTTGCGATAATTTTTTTTTTGTCGTGGATAGTTTCAATTCGTCGCAAAAAAAAATAATATTGAATCAAAATCAAAATAAAGTCAAAATAATTAATTCTCGACATTTAATATTATCATCGCAGAATATATATTATAATTACTATTAATTAGCGACGTTTTTTATTATTTTGTGGGGAATAGGTATTTTTTTTGCGACGTTTTTAAAAAATTTTTACGACAAATGACGGGAATTGATCATGTTTTACGACAAAATTTTGTTTGGCTCATATAGTTTTTATTCATCCAAAAATAAATAAGCTAAAATTAAAATAAAAATAAAGTCAAAATATTTAATGCATGACTTTTTTTCGTCGTAAATTTGTCATTATTTATCTCTTTTTTTGCGCGAGCAATGACGGAAAATGAAAATTTTTTAGTTTGGTAAAAATAAATTTGTTGCAAAAATTTTTTTAATGTAAATTTAAAATAAAATAAAATAAAAATATTAAATTGCGAAATTTTTATTTTCGTTGCAGAATATAAATTACAGCCACATTTAAAGGTAAAATAAAATAAAAATATTAAAATACGAAAGTATGTTTGTCGCAGAATATAATTTTAAACAAAATTCAAAATGACGTCGTTTTGGACATGGAAAAAAAAAAAAACTACCTACATAAATTGAAATCCATTGCCCATCCTTTTTTTCCATTTTTCTCACTGTTCGAATATCTCCTTTTTTGCTTATTTCAGTTGACACACACAGTACTGTCTCTCTCTCTCTCTCTCATCCTCGTTATTGTCTTTGTTCCTCTCCCTCGATAACCGGAGTGTTTCTTGCCCTCACTCTTGAACGAAATCGTTTCCTACCCTCACATTGCTGAGGTAAAGATCCCACTGGGAAATTAGTAGGTGAGTTTTTGCAACTCCACATAAAAGTGCGGACTATGTATGATTCTTGTGACTCTCATATTTTATGTTAATTTAAACTTATTAAATATTTGCAATGACTTGGTTAAGTTATTGGGATTAGTGGTTTGGGGTGTCTAATTTCGTGTTCCTTAACTATTACTCTGTGGATTTGAAAAACTGCTTTGTCTTGAGTGTCATTTTGGTAGCTGTCGGCAGAGAAAATAAGGGGTTTTTCCTGAATTTTTTTTCTTCTTTTTTTCACTTTTTTGTTTCGCAGATTGACCCAATCCCAAGTGAAAATCTGGCAGAGGTATTGGACAAGTTGAGGGAGGAAGAATTGTGGAAGGGATAGGTTTTGGTGATATTCTATATTTTTTGTATTCGATATACATAAACGTGGCATAATGTGGAAAAAGGGAAAATAGTAATGTTGGTTTGTGAAAATATTTTTAGGGAAAATAATTGGCGACATAGAATGTTAATTTTAGTTATTAAAGTAAAAATAAAATAAAAATATTAATTAGCAACGTTTTTTATAGCTTTGTCCAGAATATTTATAAGTTTTTTGGGACAATTTATAAGTTTGTCGGGATTATTAAAAAAATAAAAATTTAATTTGCGACATTTTTTATTTTCGTCGCAACATTTAAATTATAACCACATGTAAAGTTAAAATAAAATAGAAAAAACTTTAAATCGCGACGTTTTTATTTTTGTCAACGACTATAATGTTTTAACAAAACAAAACGATGTCGTTTTAGGCATTTTTTTGCCTTTTTTTAAAAAAATTTTTCCTTTACCCAACTCAGTTTCCCTCTTTCCCCATCTTTCCCTCTTCGTTTTCAGTGGACACACACACACTCTCTGCCTCTCACCGCCTCTCTCTCCCTTTCCATCGATTGCACTCAAAGCCACACACACACACACTCTCTGCCTTTCACCTCTTCTCTCTGTGCCTCTCCATTGACTAAACTCGAAACCAGAAGCCAGTGAAGCCACAAGCACCATCGATCGTCGCCACCTCCATCGATTCAGTCCACCCCATCTTTCCCTCTTTTTTCCCCATCTTTCCCTCTTCATTTTCAGTCGACACACACACACACACACTCTCTGCCTCTCACTGCCTCTCTCTCCCTCTCCATCGATTGCACTCAAAGCCACACACACACACACTCTCTCTGCCTCTCACCTCCTCTCTCTATGCCTCTCCATTGACTGAACTCGAAACCAGAAGCCAGTGAAGCCACAAGTACCATTGATCATCGCCGCCTCCATCGATTCAATCTACCCCCATCTTTCCCTCTTCGTTTTCAGTCGACGCACACACACTCTCTGCCGCTCACCGCCTCTCTCTCCCTTTCCATCGATTGCACTCAAAGCCACACATACACACACTTTCTGCCTCTCACCTCCTTTCTCTATGCCTCTTCATTGACTGAACTCGAAACCAGAAGCCAGTGAAGCCACAAGCACCATCGATCGTCGCCGCCTCCATCGATTCAGTCCATGGTTGGTTACATCTCTCTTATCTCTCTTTGTAACATGTACGAATTAGAATTTCTATCTTGTTTTCCCTCACAAATTCAGCTCTTATTTTATTTGGTTGGTTTGTAGTTGTAAAATTTATCGCAAATTTTAGTAGGAAGAAGCTTTTGTGTAATCGTTTTTAGTTTTTCCTTTACTTGTCTTTTGGTGACTTTGATGGGTATTGAGTAAACATTGCATCTTTGTTGTGTGAAGGCTGTTTGTTATACTTTTATCCATTTTGGGGGTGATTTGCATTTCTGTGAATTTGTTCTTGCTCTGTTTTGGAGAGTTCCTGGGATTTGCTTTGATTTTATTGTTATATGTGACTATATGTATTTATCTATTTGTTGCCTTTGTTATCTATTTATCTATTTACTGGCCTAGGTCCTTGACAATCTATTGTAATTGTTTTATCTTTCCCCTGGTCATTTACTATTCTCATGTGTCTTGAATTTGTATTTGTAACAAGATAAGCTCTCTTTGTCACATCTGGTCTGTAATTCATTGTCTTTTCCGCCTGTTCTAATAAAATTTTCCACCCCTACTATGTAATAGTATTCTTGGCCTGTCATGCATTGCTTGAGATAATAACTAATTGAACCTTCTTTTTTCCTTGGCGTTCTTAGGTTGTTTCAATTTGTTAATGTATTATTATATAGAGTATTGTTATATCACGACCCCACAGATCCTCCAACAGCTTTATTTGATTTGTACTTCAGCTGTAAGATTTCTGTGACATTTTACTAGTTATAGCATGAAGGCTGGGACCAATGGAGATT